ATGCAGCAACTCTTCTGCTCATCATTCAAAGATGCGTTTTGCCAGGCACAGAAATGCACAGCGATGATTGGGCCGCATAACGAAGACTCCAACTTTTGCCCAATGTCAACAGGCACCGACTTGTTGTGCACGCGCACAATTTTGTGAATTCACGAACAGGTGTGCACACATAAGAGGTGGAGTCCGCTTAGAATCAATTGAAACTGGGGCAGAAAAGGAGAAAGGGACTGCGCAGAGAAGATCTTCAATCCCACCTGGACGAGAGAATGTGGCGGCAATGGAGAAGGGGTAGCTATCGAGTGATTATGCGCAATTTCCTAGTTATTTTCCCGCAACAATTTCCGATCTATAATCCGGTACTTTAACCTTAAACCAACTGCATAGCAAAAAAAAACCAAAAAGAATAGAAAATTGAACATAACCCCTTAGAGGTACCAAGAACTTGATTTATTGACTAACCTAAAAATTTTTTCAACCCTAAGCGGAACAACTTTAAATTGTTTTAACTATACTAGTTGCAATGGTTTTTTTTTGCTCTGGTATGTAGGTGCAATAAGTTCAACAGTCCAATTTGCTTTATGGACCTACAAATGGTACAATATAACTTGAGATAGGTCAAGATATATAAATAAAGTTATTTTAAAACATAATCTAGATTCGCGTTACTTAAATCAGAATAATAAGGCAAGACCAACATATCAGTGGCATCCCCTCTTTTTGCAGACGGAGTAAAAAAGAAAAGAAAAATTAGGGTGAATACCATTAAAGAAAATAGAACCTATTAGAAAAACACTGAAAGCCGCTACGTGGAAGGGTTTTTTTTCTTTTCCGGGGGGGGAGGGTAGTGTAGTGTACTCCAAGCTTTCGCCTATAAACATTATCATCAGGGATGAGAAAATAATCCGGGCGCGCCATACATATGCAAAGAAAGCGTAGGGTGAAATGTGTAAAAGATGTGACTATGTATGAAAGCTATAGAAATAAACTGTGAATGGAACACAAGGCTCCAATGATAGACCGTTCCCAGACAAAGGACCTCTAAAAGTTCTAAAGAATGGTCCATAAGATAAAATACTGAAATAGAAGGTCTGCAAATTCACTACATTCTTCCCGAGAACTGAGTGTAGGCTTGCACTTTCTAATGTAAAATGCTTCATAAAGTCGTAGATTAGCGGGGTCGTTTTCGCTGATAATAACCTTGACGTCAAAGCCTTTATAGTTTTTGTTCTGGCAGGAAAAGATATGTAGTTTTCATAGAAGGTTTTCATTATTGAGATGTTCTTTTACGTGGTCGTGGATGAAGCGTGTCGTGCTACCAATGCATTGTTGATCGCAGCTGTTACATGTGAGCTGGTATACTGCATTTCACCGTAAACATAATCCAGTGTTAGAGATAGGGGATTTGTCTCTAGTGCATTTGCACTCCTTGGGGGTGTGGGATAGGGCTTGTCTTAGCATGTAGGATTTGTGGGCAATACGTACGGGATGTTTTCTTTTCTAAAAATGTTAGTGATCTTGCGATTGAGTTGTTCAGAAATGTACAGGATCTTAAGGTATGAGCATTCTGTGTTGGTATGGTGAGGGTTTCGTTGAGGGTTTTGTGGGCGTTTTGTTTGCTCTATACTGTTCTCTGGATAAGCGTTAAGGCAGAAGATGTCGTTGAATATGTTTAGGTGTTATGTTGCAGATACATGTGAGGAGCATCTGCCCTCGATGCGTTTCCATTCGTTGCGAATGAAGTTGAGTTTGGATTTGGTGGGAATAGCTGATTGATGGTGGATGAATAGCGGTTTTTTGTAGAATTCAAAAGAGCTGTTGCCATCCTTGAATATGGTGACTTTGAAGTCGAGTAATGATAATGACAGGCCCCTAGGTGTTGTTTGTGATTTTTCAATTTCGAATTTCAAATTAGGGTGTACATTGTTTATTATATGGCGGAAATGGTCTGCTGTTTCTTCATTAGTTGTTTGGAGATAAATGTCGTCAACATATCTCTTGTAAGGGCTTATCATTAGGTGCGATGAGAGGGTGATGGTTTCTAGTCTGTCCATGAATATTATGGCCAGAATGCCTGAAATGCTAGAACCCATGGGTAGGCCTTCGCTTTGGTAAAAAACTTGATCTCTGAAGGAGAAGTACATATTGTTTAGCATGACTTGGAGGATGTCTGAGATGTCTTGTTTGGAGAGGTGGAGTATTGGGTCCTGGATTCTATCTGTAATGTTGATGGTGGCTTCTTGTATCGGTATTATGGTGTATACCACATTGAGGCTGCATGGATGTGGTAACGCTTTGTTTGTGGTGAGATTGCTGGCTTGGATACATCTAATGAGTTCGAGACTGTTTTCTAAATGGGTTGGGACATTTTTATCATCGGTTTAAGGGTGTTGGCAAGAAGCCATCAAATGTATTGGGTGGGTCCATTGATGTTGGATACGATAGGTCGTATTTTAATATTGGGGCCTGCTTTGTGGGTCTTGATGAGGTGGTAAAATCTGGGCAGATCCGCGTTTGACGCGAGGAAGCCTTTCTGGACAAGGCAGGGATTTTATTTTGTAGGCAGATCTTCTTCCATTCTTTGGGGCTTTTAGAGGTCCTTTGTCTGGGGACGGTCCATAAGGCAAAGAAAAGAAAAGATGATGACACACAATGTATAATGCATCATTACACCTTATATTCATTATACCTATTGATGTTCATTACACTATCATAAAGGGTTCCAAATGATGTTTCATCCTCAACCTATGCTTTCTTTGTGCTACAAAAGGAACTTGGGCATCTTTCTGTGCTTTGAAAGCATCTTTGTGCTGCTGGGATAGGGCTGTGTACTGTATGCCATCAGTGTTTTGAGGTTTTCTTAAGTAGATTCTTCACGGTTTGAACCGCGCGTTGAACCTCACCTTTTGCTTGCGGGTATAGGGGGCTAGTAAGGATGCGAGGAAATCCAGTCTTTTGGACAATGAGGTTGATGAAAATTGCGACCCATTGTCAGAGATGAATTGCTCAGGGATACCATGTCTTGCAAACATAGACTGAAGGTGTGCTATTACATCAGCGAAGTATTATGTGAAAGTTTTGCCACCTCTACAAAATGAGAAAAATAGTCTATGACAAGCAGGTAGGGATGACTTCTTAGCTCGGATAGGTCAGCTGCGACTTTGTGCCAGGGCCGATCTGGTAATTCGGACAGGATGACTGGTTCTGCTGGATTTACTAGTTCCTTGATGCTGGTGGGGCACTTCTTGACTACTTCTTCGAGTTATTGACTCAGGCCAGGCCACCATACAGATGTTTTGGCTCTCTCAAGGCATTTTGTAATGCCTTGGTGAGCATCATGTAACCTGTCTAGAACATCTATTCTCATAGAGAGGGGGACAACCAGTCGGTTTTCCTTCATCAGTAGGCCATGTTAAACTGTGAGGTCATTTTTCCCAGGCCAGAACACTTCAAGTGCTGAAGATTAATGAAGATTAACACCACTGCCAACACACCAGTCATAGTCTATGGAGAGCCTATCAGGGATTGGAATTCCTTCATCTACCTTGGGAGTGCAGTTGACCGACAGGGGGGCACGGACAGAGATGTCACAGCCAGGATTTGCAAGGCCACAGCAGCTTTTGTCATGCTCAAGAACATCTGGTTGTCCAAGGAGATCAGGAAAAGAACCAAACTTCGCATCTTCAACTCCAATGTGAAGTCAGTCTTGCTCTACAAATGCGAAACTTGGAGGACAACAAAGACAATGCAGACATTCTTCAACACCAGTCTGCGGCGCATCTACAACATCCGATGGCCAGAGATGACCCCAAATGAAGAGCTGTGGGAACGAGCGGGACAGGAACTAGTAGCAAAACAAATTCTGAAGAGGAAGTGGGGCTGGATCGGACATACCCTCAGGAAGCCAGCATCCAGCACCACACGCCAAGCTCTGAGCTGGAACCCGCAGGGAAAGAGGACGAGAGGCCGGCCTCGCGACAGCTGGAGGCGAGACACTGAGGCAGAGCTTACGCAGCAATGTACAAACTGGACAGGAGCAGCAAGATTAGCCCAGAACAGAGTGCGTTGGGGAGGGGTCGTCGATGGCCTATGCTCCACATGCAGCCACGGGCCTAAATAAGTAGGTAAGAACACTTTAAGTGGACCAGGGAGCTGGGGATTTTCTGGCCACCCTCAGAACAATAAGTGATGAGTTGCCTTGTGATTTCATCCTGTTGTTGTTGGCACCTGAAGTCTTCTAGTGGATCTTCTGTTGCTGATAGGTATTTTACAATCGAGTCGACATAGGCTCGTACATCAGCCTCTAACGTCTCTTCCTCTTGCTTAAGGGGTGTAGCTAGAGTTTTCCGGGAAAGGGTGTCTGCTGTGTAAAGGGACTTCCCAGATAAATGCGAAATAGAGTAAGTCAACCTCATCATTCGTATTCGGAAATGTTGTACTCTGGCAGGCGGGTCTTCAAGGTTCCTAGTACTCAGCAGGGGAAGTAAAGGCTTGTGATCGGTCTCAGTGTGGAATTCCAGGCCAATCAGGTGATCGGCGAAGTGCTCACTTGCCCAGGTGGGCATATCGCTGTTCAGTTGAACTCATGGCTGGCGAGGCGTATGCGACAGGGTACCACTCGCCATCATCCTGCGGTTGCAATAGGACCACTCCAAGTCCATATGATGATGCATTAGAAGAAAGTTCCGTCGGACGATTCGCATTAGAGTGGGCTAAGGTAGGGGTGGAGGAGAGGGTCTTCTTCAGGGCTGCAAATGCTTGCTGTTGGGCTTCACTCCATAACCAGTGACTTTTCGAAGTCAATAGGTCTCTTAGTGGCTTGGAAAGCTCTGCTATTTGCAGCTGAAACTTGCTTGGTTGGCTAACCATGCCAAGAAATTTTCTTAATTCCATCTAGTCTTGGGGCGCTTTCATCTTCAAAATAGCTTCAACTTTCTTGGGGCTTACGTGCACTCCCTCAGTGTTGATGAGCGTCTCCAGATTTTGAGAATTAAAATTTCTCTTCATTTAAGGTTAGCCTCCTGTAGGTTATGCAGGGTTGCTTCTAGATGTTCATCGTGGTCTTCCACTGAACTGCCGTACACAAGGATATCGCCCATCAGACAAAGAGCACCATCAGTTTCTTCAAGAACCTGCGAGATTCGTTTCTGGAAATGTTCAGGGGCTGAACTGATTCCAAATGGTAGGCGATTAAAACAAAACCTGCCGAAAGGCGTGATGAAAGTGGTTAGTTTAGCTGACTCTGGAGATAAGGCATCAAGTTTACTGAAGATGGTCGCTCCAGCCAGTTGGGCTAAGGTGTGGTCGATGTTGGGTAGAGGATGATACTCCCTTAGGATGCTTTCGTTGAGCTTGGTTAGATCTACGCATATTCGAACTTTGCCATCAGCTTTTGGGACCACAACCATCCCGGCGCACCATTCCGTTGGCTCATCCACTTTAGAAATGATTTGCATTTGTTCCATCCTAAACGGTTCTTCCTCGACTTTCGAAAGACGGGGAACATGTACTCTCCTTGGTGTACTAATTACGTGTGGGTTTTCATCAGATTTGAGCTCGACTAGGTAATCAGGGCCATCAAGTTTTCCTAAACCTTTAAAGAGATTTGGAAGTTTTTCTTTAACTTCTTCTGCTTCTATTGCATTGACCTTTTGGACAATTCTTAGCCCTACTATAGCTGGACGGCCGAGGAGAGCTAAGCGGGCTCCAGTCACCACAAATATTTCCCGCGATAAAGATTCTTCTACTCTCTTGATTACTCCCATAAAGTAGCCAAGAATGGGAAGAGTTGTGTGGGCCGGGTCAAACAGGGTCTTGCTGGATTGAATGAGGGCTGGGTTTGGTTTTAGCTTTTTGCAAACGCTCTTGGGGATGACAGTGACGTCAGCTCGGGTGTCAATTTTAAAGTGGACAGGAGAGTTATTTAGAGTGAGGTCTACAGAACAAGTGTCTTTGTTCCTCTCGATCCCGATTGTCCCAAGAAAGGCATAATCTTCTTTGCTTTCGCCGACAGTTTGCGAGGACTTACAGACAAGTGCCAGTGACCTTTCTTCTTGCACTTGTGATAAATATCAGCTTAAGCCAGGCAATTTTGTCGCACATGGCCATCGATTCCAAGAGAGCGGTTTCTTGGGAATTTCGTTCGAACCTCAAGACGAGTCGTCTGTCGAAATTTCGGCAGTTTATCCCCTTTTACCAAATCGACCTCATTCTTTATTCCTGTGGTTTCCTTGAAGTCACTCCGCATGAGGGTTTGTTGTATTTTGACGGCTTTCCTTTGCTGCGCCTGTTTGATTGCTTTTGGCTGTGTCAACTCTTGGTCGAGCTGAAGTTTCTCTGACAATTTCGCGTCTATAAAGCCTATCAAAATCCTGTCTCGAATCATTTCATCTCTCAAAGTACCAAAATTGCAGTGTTCGGTGAGTGTACGCGATGTCATGATGAATGTATTGACTGTCTCAACTTCTTGGCGGTGTTGATTGAACTTTGCTTGCCCGAAAATAACATTATGGCGAACCACGAAGTGGTCATCAGACTTTGTTCTGATGGTGTACTACTGGTGGTACTACTTCAGTTGTGTAGCACTCAGCTTAAAGGAGTTAAAAATATCGTTGGCTTGATCTCCCATAGCGTAGATTAGCGTGTTTATTTGACTCTCTTCCTCTTCTTTCGTCAGACCAGATGCATGGCGAAAGCGTTCAAATCTTGGGCTCCATTTCAGCCAGTTTTCTTGACGACTAAAGTCAAACTTTTCTGGTAGCTGTAATTGAAAAGACGTCATGGTCCGTGTAAAACTATTTCTGACACCTTGTGGTGTTATCGGGCCATAATAGAAACAGATAAGTACAAAAACACAACGCTTTAATCAGGCAGCCATAAAACATTACCCGGTTGACCACGAGATGTCTTCCTTGTGCCTTAATGGCTACTGGGAAATAACATTACGAAACCAATTACATCATACCTCTCGCAACAGATCGTTGACTTGATTTCCTAGATGCCATTCATCATCACGTCCGAGTACACAAGAAAACTGAGCGCAGTCTTTCCCATCATGTGATTTAAGGCTTTGTTGATTTTTATTAATCTCCAATTACATTCCGCACTGTGATACACTTGTTCTTGACTTTCATTTCGGTGAAAATAATACTGAAGGGTTTATATGTCGAAACTATTAGGTCTATCACTTTTGAATATCAGAATTTCTGGGTAACGTCACCATGATTCCAATAGTGGCCATATTGCTTGAAATGAAGAGTCACAGTGGTTTCACCTGTTTTATTGGTAGTGTGTTTACTGTTTTCCTCACGAAGATCCACTTTGATTAAGTCAAAAAATTGTTGATACATTGGAATACATGGGATGTTTGAGGGTTCGTAATGTTTCGTCGAGGGTACATAATGTAGTTTTAGCGAGACGTGTCATCTGATTTCCCACAAGCGTACCAGTAGCCACATTAGATTCGACTCCTAGGGTCCTTTTGGTGCAATGCTTTTGAGGTACATTGCATCCCATCATGTTTGTGAAAGAGCACTTTAGGTTTGTGAATTTTCAATTGCTTAAGATACTGAGATAAAGATAATCCGCATCCACTTTTCAATATGCACCATAATCCAGGTTGTAGGTGTATGTGTAGATTATGATTTTGAATGGTGTATTTGTTATTCAAAGCATTGTAATGAATCCAGTCGATAGCTGTCAGAGCCTAAGAATCTTCTGTAGAGCTCAAAATTTTTTAAGGAAGCTCAAGGTTGATCGCTTGACCAGATTTTTGTTCCCTTTATAAATTAGTAACACAGCTTTTTCTCATTTTTAATATTTACTCTATTGGGTATTAGGTGAACTGGGCTTAATACTAGTTTTACCTTTTCAAAGTTGAAATACACCCCAGGGGGTAGGAAATGTCGATATGATAGTAATCCGCTTTCAAATGTTTTTGTTCTTCTTTGTGGAGCAATTGTTGGCCACAGGAACACTACATCTCCTTTTGTGGGCAGACTGATTGTGTTGCATCACATCTTCCTATTAACATTTTGCCGGGCATGAGCCACAGTGCTACGCAATTTCCTGGCAGTCTTGGAAAATGTGCTACCTAATATCCTCGAGGGGCACATCCCTCTCACAGCCCAAGCACTTGGCTGTTATGCCTTCCATCATTTTGACCGCAAATTGAGAGGGATATTTAGTTTTGATAGGAACTCATTCTTGGCTGCTTCCATATCTAGAAGTTGCTGGCACCATTTTCCTGCTAACGGAATGGCCACACCAGTTACATACATGTATCTGAGCATCGACTATTGTACAAGTACTGCAGCATGAATAAAGATAAATTAGGAATAACTACGAGACAACCATGACTCGGAAAATTCACAATACTTACGAAATTTGAAATAAAAACTCTTGTAAAAACTGTTGGAGTTGATGGAATCAAAATATTTTTGTGTAGATGACATGCTTAATTTTGTGATTGAAACCTGGACTTACAGAGCACACACAAAGCAATATGTTCTGAGCTTCTGCTTAAGCTGAATGGCAACACTAATTTAACAAGCCTCCTTAAGATGAATGCTATATCAAATAGAGGTTGTCAAAACAGCAGCAATTGTTGAATGAATAGGAAATTTGGCACTGTTAGAAGATAATAGTTTTCGTGGGTAAAATACTACAAGAGTACTCTGAGTGACACAGTTACATACAAGTACATACAAGTGACATACTAGTACATACGGATACACACATCAGGGGCCATATGCGACAACTGCATCACCTTGTCTTGACCTTTTTGTTCGAACTCGCATGCGCACCAATCGCAAGGGGCTGTTTTCTTTTTATTTCTTTCCTCTCTCTTTGTTTTGTTATGTTTTACTGATTTTACCCCAGACTGACTCCTTCATTAGCTACAGTTCTCTGGACAGACACATCTACGCCACTCATTTCCCATTTCCTTTCACTGCCTGTTACACTGTGATCAAATCCCATGGGCTGAAGGGAAGGGTAACTAAACCATTAACTGGCTTCTTGTCTCGCCATCTAATATGTGTTAAGATTTCCTTTTGTCCAGTCCACCAGTGAGGACTCTCGTGCGTGTCTAGTAACTTGGATAATCTTATGGCATGGTTGGCCAGCTTTTTTCAGTTTCACAACGACCGTCTTTCTTGCGGACTGGTTTTTTATTTTCGTGGGACACTCCTATGATAAACAACTTGCAACTGATTTCATTATTTTACCGATTCAACGCCCACCCATCCTAGAATTGAAACCCAAGTGGTCTGCCAGATTCTAAAGTCGACGTTTGTTAGGGGAACACCAGTGTGACTACCTAATTTTCCTTAATTCTAAAATAATTCTTTGTTTACTTAAGTGAACAGCTGAGCTCTGTTGGACTGTTTTCCTTTGCCTTGGTATGATAGACATTTTGCCTTGGAATTTATAGTCTGTTGGGACTTCTTGAACTCTCGCCTGGTGATGATGGATGCCAAATAACTTTTTGGCACTGATACCTGTCAGGTGATGCCTGCCTGACACGAAGCAAATCTGGTTGGTATCTGACCCAACTCTTTTCCGGAGTTCAGCAATTGGGAGATGTAGACCTTAAACTGAAGAGGAGAACATTCTTCAAACACATTTATACAAGTGCATTACCAAGGCATCCCTTTACACTTCTAATTGTTTTGGAATAGGGTAATCATAAGTTTCATCCTCTTCATCCTTTTATCAGCAAACTGAAAAAACAAAATTATTTATGAGTTCAGTAAGCTGGTCACTTGCTAAGTTATTTATGTTTTTACATGCTCCCAAAACAAAAGCGTAATAAACAGTGGTAATATAAAACAATGTTTATTATTCACTTGTTGGCAAATCAAATAGCCTACATAATGGAAAACTTGTGACACAGCAACCATATAAATATCTCTTTAGCACAAGTACTAAGATCTGCCAGGAAAGTACCATTTTTTAAGGCAGTGTTGGACAAATTTAATACATTTATTAACCCTCAAAATGCTTAACATAGTTGTGACAAAGTCATGCCTCGTTAACGGTGAAGTAGGGATGGTGTAATATTACCTGAGTAGAATATCACTCACGCAGTGAACAGTGAATCTTCTCTGGTTGTGGATTAAGAAAAGGCAACGGTAATGATGGCAGCGAGTTGATCAAGCTCCATTTGTAGAGGTCTTCTGGTGCAACTACTTTACAACTGATGAAATTGGTTTTGGCCACCATGATGCAAATCAAGTCCTTCCAACCTGAGATGCCATTAGAAGCCACACACATGAAGTGTCTGAAAAACTTCTTGAAAACAAAACCAAGCAAAAGAGAGGCTTTTTCTAGCATGAAAAGACAGAAAAAAGAGCATCACAATTGGTGAAATGTAATACAAAGAAGAAAGAGAATGGAAAATCGCAACTTAACATAAAAAGTAATGATATAAATGGTATTAGTAATTGAAAGTAGATGAGTAAGTAGAGTAAATTACCAAAACCTTGGAGAGAATTTAAAAAAAGCTGCACATCATATTCACAAAAGGTGTAAGGGAGCTAAATATAATTTAAATATGATAACAGGTAAAAACATGTAATACAAGTACAATTGATATCAGTGATAAAATTAGATGAGTAAGTAAAGTAAATGACCGTAGTTTAAATACGTTGAAAGTAAAGAAAATGTAGCACATCTAATTGATAATGGTTTAAGAGAAATGAACATTAAATGGTAGATATAATTGAAAACATGAAAAGGTGAAAAAATTATAGCGCAGATATAAATATCAGTGATAGAGAGGAGATGAGCAAGAAAAGTGAACAAGGTACAGCATGTTAGGCCTTTTTATTTATTACAATTTATTTATTACAATTTAATGGCACATATAACTTACTACTTACTTACATACTTACATTAATAGATAATAATACAAAAGAGTAAAAAGGAAAGGTGCCATAAGGATGGTCCGCAAAAGAGATAAATCCCCATGCACGGCAGACCACCTTTAACAAAAAAAAAAACAAATCCAAACTAAAATCAATCAGATCTTGCAGTCAAGTAATCCCTTACACCCCTTTTAAAACAAGAAACACTTGGAGCCTGACGGACCGATAGTGGCAGCCCATTCCACATGTGGACAATCCTATTAAAATAGCAAAACTTAAAAGTATTAGTCCTCGCGTAGTTCTTTTTTAATTTAAGTTCGTCCTTACCCCTCAACGAGTATCTTTCCGAATGCGAATAAAATTGGATATAAGAGGATATATCTATATTAATATACCCATTAAGAACTCTATAAAAAAATAGTACATCAAAAAAGAAGCGTCTTTTCCTCTTTTATTTTATCTTGATTTTGTTTACCCTAACAATAAAAAATGCAGTGTTTTTTGGTAATAATGGTATGACATTTGGATCGCTTGCTGTTTCAAGTGTAATGGGATGTTCATACTGTTCCAG